AGGGAGCTATAACTGGGGGCAGTATCACTCTTGACATTGCTCTGACCTAAGTAAGGAATGTCCTACTCTTGCTAGGATGGCCAACTTGGTGAAAAGCTTTATTCCCAGATGTTTTGTTAATTGAGGTCTTACTGTTCTCTGATAATACGTAGTTTGTATAAGTCTTTTTTTTTTTTAAGATTTTATTTACTTATTTGAGATAGAATGAGAGAGAGCGAGCTCGAGCTTGGTGAGGGAGGACAGAGGGACAGGGAGAAGCAGACTCCCCGCTGAGCAGAGAGACTAATGCGGGGCTTGATCCCAGGACTCTGGGATCATGATCTGAGCTGAAGGAAGATGCTTATCCGACTGAACCACCCAGGTGCCCGTGTATAATCAGAGAACTTAGTATGTTTTTAAATTTTAATTCCAGTATAATTAACATACAGTGTTAAATTAGTTTCAGTGATTCAACATTTCATACATTACTCAGTGCTCATCAAGATAAGTATACTCTTAATCCCCTTCACCTCTTTCACCCATCACATACCCACCTTCCGTTTGGTAACCATCTGTTTGCTCTCTATAATTAAGAGCCCATTTTTCTGTTTGTCTCTTTTTTTCATTTGTTTAGTTTCTTAAATTCCATATATGAATGAAACTTACAGTATTTGTCTTTCTCTGACTTATTTTGCTCTTTAGATCCACCCATGTTGCACATGGCAAGATTTCATTCTTTTTTATGGCTGAACAATATTCCACTGTGTGTGTGTGTGTGTGTGTGTGTAGTACAGTACATTTTCTTTATCCATTTATCTATCAGTGGATACTTGGGCTGTTTCTGTAATTTGGCTATTGTAAATAATGCCATAATAAGCATAGGGGTGCATATATCCTTTTGAGTTAATGTTTTTGTATTTTTTTTTTTAAGATTTATTTATTTGAAAGACAGAGAACACAAGCAGGAGGGGCAGAGGGAGAGGGAAAGAATCTCAAGCAGACTCTGCACTGAATGTGGAGCCCAATGTGGGGCTCAGTCTCACCACCCGGAGATTGCAACCCCAGCCGAAACCAAGATTCAGAAGCTTAACCGACTGTACCACCCAGACACCTCTAGTGTTTTTGTATTCTTTGGGTAAATACCCAGTAGTGTGATTATTGGATCATATGGTAGTTCTATTTTTAATTTTTTGAGGAACCTCCATACTGTTTTCCACAGTGGCTATACCAGTTTGCATTCCCACTAACAGTGCATGAGGGTTCCTTTTTCTCCACATCCTCGCCAACACCTGTTGTTTCTTGTGTTTTTGATTTTAGTCATTCTGACAGGTGTGAGATGATACACCATTGTAGTTTTTTTTTTTAATTAAAGATTTTTATTTATTTATTTGAGAGAGAGAGAGAGAGAGCACATGAGAAGGGGGAGGGTCAGAGGGAGAGGCAGACTCCCCGCTGAGCAGGGAGCCCGATGCGGGACTCGATCCTGGGACTCCAGGATGGTGACCTGAGCCGAAGGCAGTCGCTTAACCAACTGAGCCACCCAGGCGCCCCTACCATTGTAGTTTTGATTTGCATTTCCCATTTCCCTGATGATGAGTGATGTTGAGCATCTTCATGTGTCTGTTGGGCATTTGTATGTCTTCTTTGGAGAAACGTCTGTTCATGTCTTCTTCTTTTTTTTTTTTTAAGTAGGCTCCACACACCCAGCGTGGAGCCCAGTGTGGGGCCTGAACCCACGCCCTGAGATCAAGACCTGAGCCGAGATCAAGAGTTGGACATTTAACTGACTGAGCCACCCAGGCACCCTTGTTCATGTCTTCTGCCCATTTTTTATTTGGATTATTTGGGGTTTTTTTTGGTGTTGCGTTATATAAGTTCTTCTTTATATTTTTTGGCTATTAACCCTTTATCAGATACATTATTTGCAAATATCTTCTCCTCTTCAGTAGGTTGTCTTTTAGTTTTGTTGATAGTTTCCTTTGCTATGAAGAATTTTTTATTTTGATGTAGTCCCAATAGTTTATTTTTGCTTTTGTTTCCCTTGTCTCAGGAGACGTATCTAGAAAAATGTTATGGCCAGGGTGCCTGGGTGGCTCAGTAGTTAAGCGTCTCAGGTGATGATCCCAGGGTCCTGGGATTGAGTCCCACATCGGGCTCCTTGCTCCGTGGGAAGCCTGCTTCTCCTTTTCCCACTCCCCCTGCTTGTGTTCCCTCTCTGGCTTTGTCTCTCTCTGTCAAATAAATAAATAAAATCTTAAAAAAAAAAAATAGAAAAATGTTATGGCCAGTGTCAGAGAAATTACTGCCTGTGCTCTCCTAGGATTTTTATCGTTTCAGGTCTCACATTTAGGTCCTTAATCCATTTAAAAAAAAAAAAAGATTTTATTTATTTGAGAGAGACAAAGAGGGCACACAAGAGAGAACACAAGCGGGGAAGGGGGTGGGGTGGAGAGGAGCAGAGCAGAGGGAGAAGCAGACTCCCCACAGAGCAGGGAGCCCGACTCGGGCCTTGATCCCAGGACCCTGGGATCATGACCTCAGCTGAAGGCAGATGCTTAACTGACTGAGCCACCCAGGTGCCCGGTCCTTAATCCATTTTGAGTTTATTTTTGTGTATGGTATAAGAAAGTGGTCTGGCTTCATTCTTTTGCATGTAGCTGTCCAGCTTTCCCAACACCATTTGTTGAAGATACTTTTTCCCATTGCATATTCTTGCCTCCTTTGTTAAAGAGTAATTGACCATATAATTGTGGGTTTATTTCTGAGTTTTCTATTTTGTTCCATTGATTGATATATCTGTTTTTATGCCAGTACCATACTGTTTTGATTGCTACAACTTTGTAGTATAACTTGAAATCTGGACTTGTGATACCTCCAGCTCTGTTTTTCTTTTTCAAGATTACTTTGGCTATTCGGGGTCTTTGTGGTTCCATACAAATTTTATGATTGATTGTTCTAGTTCTGTGGAGAAATACTGTTTGTATTTTGATAGGGATTGCATTAAATCGGCAGATTGCTTTGGGTAATATGGACCTTTTAACAATATTTGTTCTTTCAATCCACGAGCATGGAATATCTTTTCATTTGTTTGTGTTGTCTTCAGTTTCATCAGTGTTTATAGTTTTCATAGTCGTTTCAGGTCGTTCACCTCCTTGGTTAAGCTTATTCCGAGGTATTTTACTGTTTTTGGTGGTGCAGTTGTAAATGGGATTGTTTTCTTAAGTTCTCTTAAGAGAACTGCTATTTCTGCTATTTTATTATTAGTATATAGAAATGCAGTGGGTTTCTGTACACTGATTTTTGTATCCTGTAACCTTATTGAATTCAGTTATCAGTTGTAGTTTTTTGGTGGAGTCTTTAGGGTTTTCTATATATGGTACTATGTCATCTGCAAGTAGTGAAAGTTTTACTTCTTTCTTACCAATTTGGATGCCTTGTATTCATTTTTCTTGTCTGATTGCTGTGGCTAGGACTTCCAATACTATATATATGTATATTTTTTAAGATTTTATTTATTTATTTGATAGAGACTCAGTAAGAGAGGGAACACAAGCAGGGGGAGTGGGAGAGGGAGAGCAGGCTTCCTGCGGAGCAGGGAGCCCAATGTAGGGCTCGATCCCAGGACCCCGGGATCAATCCCAGGACCCCGGGATCATGACCCGAGCCGAAGGCAGATGCTCAACGACTGAGACACCCAGGTGCCCCCCAATACTGTATTGAATAGAAATGGTGAGAGTGAACATCCTTGTCTTGTTCCTGACCTTAGAAGAAAAGCTCTCAGTTTGTCACCATTGAGTATGATGTTAGCTGTGGGTTTTTTATATATGGCCTTTATTATGTTGAGGTATGTTCTCTTTAAACCTACTTCGTTGAGGGTTTTTATCATGAATAGATGTTGTACTTTGTCAAATGCTTTTTCTGCATCTACTGAAATGATCATATGGTTTTTATACTTTATCTTACTGATGTGATATATATCACATTGATTGATTTGTGAATATTGAACCACCCTTGTATCCCAGGAACAAATCCCACTTGATTGTGGTGAATGATTTTTTTAATGTATTGTTGGATTGGGCTTGCTAATATTTTGTTGAAGATTTTTGCATTTGTGTTCATCAGAGATATTGGCCTGTAGTTCTCTATTTTTGTAGTGTCTTTATTTGGTTTTGATATCAGGGTAATGCTGGCTTCATAGAATGAATTTGGAAGTTTTCCCTTGCTCTTCTATTTTTGGGAATAGTTTGAGAATAGGTATTAACTCTTCTCTAAATGTTTGGTAGAATTCATCTGTGAAGCTCTTTGGTCCTGAACTTTTGACTGTTGGGGGAGTTTTTTGATTACTTACTCAATTTCATTGCTGGTAGTCGGTCTGTTCAAATTTTCTATTTCTTCCTGATTCAGTTTTGGGAGGTTATATGTTTCTATGAATTTATTCATTTCTTCTAGGTTGTCCAATTTGTTGGCATATAATTTTTCATAACATTCTCTTACAATCCTTTGTATTTGTGTTATAGGACTTAGTGTTCTTGTAGTCATTTAAATAACTATGTATTATTAGTCTGTCTTTTCCCATAAGCTGTAAGCTTTACCAGGGCAGAAACAGTCTGTTTTGTTCATCATTATATTCCCAGTACCTAGCATATAGGTGCTAAAATACTTGTTGGCATACTATCTCACATAGTTTCACATATCTAGGATATGTCTCATATAAAATTTAGAGAGCCATGTGCCTGTTTGGGCTTCCTCATAGCATGCTGGCCAGCTTCTAAGATGCATGGCATTTTTATGACCTAGTTTTGGAAACCATATAGTGTTATTTCTATCACACTTTATTGTTCTTCCCAGGTTCAAGGTGAGAGAATATGGACTTAGCAGCTTGAGAGGAGTGGCCACCTCAGCTTCTCCAAATTCCAATCTCGATGTATTCAATTAACCCAGAATGCACTGCCTGTGTACTTTATCTATTTTGGTCTGGCAAGTGATTCCAGGCATAAAGCTAGAGTCATCATAGGGCTCACCTCATTGTTTTCCTTCTCTCAGGGCTCACAATCCAATGCAATTCCTGTTGTCCACCATCTAATATCAGTTGTTTCATGTATTTTATCCAGTTTTCTAGTTTTGTACGGTAGAGGGGAAAGTTCCACACCAGTACTGCAAGTTAGAGTATGAGTTTTACACCAAGGATTTCTTCTTTTATCCACTTAAGGTACATTTTAGTTTCCAAATGTAAAAATGAAGTCAACTTTGGGCTAGAATTAATAATTTGAGTTCGCTTCAGACCTGTCTCCAACTTACAACATGAAAATCAGCAAATCTCGTTTCTTTGGTTTTCATGCAAACTGAATTGAATATAAATTACCCTGTTCTCAGGGTTACTTCTCAGGCATTCCATAACAAGCAAGTGGAAACAAAAATCACATTAAATAAAGATGAGGTTATATTTATAGTTAGTTGACAAAATTTACTTCCCTAACCTTTTCTGGTACAAATTCATACTGTAAAGTATAAAGGGGCTGAGAGTGGGTAAGACTGGCTGTTTCACTGCTCTTCCTCCTAGTAATAACCAATTAGTATTGAACCCGAGGAACTGTGTAAGCCTTTTATGTGAATTAACTCACCAAATCCTCATAACAGCCCTATGGGATAGGTACTTTACTGTCCTCATTTCACACATGAGAATGAGACCTAGATTAAGCAACTTGCATAGGGTCACACAGTTAATAAGTAGCAGTGGCAGAATTGGAATGATTTGAACCCAAGCTGTGTGAGCTATGCTCTTAACTGTATATATCTGTATATATAACTGTATGTGACTATTTGAAAACCACTAAAAATGTGTCAACTGCTGCTGATGTAGAATCATTAGTTATCTTTAAGTATAAGAGAGAGTATCATTCCTGGAATCACTTCAACAAATCCTGTTTGTTTAAGTCAACGTGATTGATTTCTGTGGGGAAGCAGAAAGATTGGGCTATAGTTGGAATATGATTTCCTGATAAAAACAAACACCATCAGTGTGGCAGGAAATGGTAGAAGATGACGTACAGCAAAAACTACCTAGAGAATAGGATAGGAGTGGAGTCCAAAGGTTCCAGTGCAGTTCCATGAGGGTCACAGGTGTTTATTGAATCTCTCCTGTCTGGCAGCTGTTTTGATATTAATAGATTCTATTATTCTTTTTCTCCCCCTCCTCAGACACATTTAATGAAGCCAAACACCAAAATGCTAACACTCTTTCCTGGAGAGAAAAAGGCTAAGATTTCTTTTACTCAAAGAATTCCCCCTACAGGCACTCGGCAGACCAGCATTGCTTCCTTCTTCACCTTGCAGCCAGGTATGATGACCTGCCTGGGAATACCCAGGGAGCAAAAAGGAGTGTGTGCATTTTTCCATGCTGGAAAATTTATGAGAAGTGGCGACACCAGTGCATTGTGTTTAACTTAGCTAACTCATTAGAAGAGGATATCAAACAAAACATCCCCTTCTGCAAAGCATTATATACATGCTTTTACCAACATTTTCTTACTCTGTGTGCTCAGTCTCATATTAAATATTTGTATTCCCTGACAGAGCAGTGAGGAGAAAGGTATGCTTGGGGAGTTGGGGTGTGCAGGGGAGCTGACCTGCCATTATTTAGGTAAATGTCTTGGATTGGCCATAATGACCAGTCTCTCTAGGATTACTTGATAATAGATATTTCTGTATAATGCTTCTCAAATTGTCAGAGTTCAAAGATGCTTTTTTTCTTAGAAAGGTTGGCGTAAAGTTGGCTTGTGTTTCATCATCCTTTGGCAGTTTTTTGCTTACATGTCCCTTTTCAGGGGACGAGCTGCCTCACAGCAGTGTGTCTGCCAGCTGGAGGGTTTTCGGAGGAGAGCTCTAACTCTTGATGCGATTCCCAGGATTGCTTTGCATAAATCTTCAAAATCTACTGTCCCTGCCCCAAACAGAAACTTAAAATAAGCACCCTTTTTGCTTTAAGTAACAAGGGCAGATTTTTTTCAAGGACACTTCTGATTTAAAAAAAAAAAAAAAAAAAAAAAAAAATTTTTTTTAAAGTAGGCTTCATGCCCAACATGGAACCAACATGGGGCTTGAACTCATGACCCAAAGATCAGGACCTAGCTGAGATCAAGAGTTGGACGCTTAACAGTCTGAGCCACCCAGTCATCCCCCGCTATTTCAAAATTCTGGTATATTCTATAATCTGTTGGAATTCTTAGGCAAAGTTGAGAAATCTTTCACAAAACAGTTTCTGCAGTATAATTCTTGTTGGAGAAGGAAAAAGGAAATCATTCAGCTTTGTAATTAGATCTTGGTATAATTTGGGGGCGGGGGGAGTGGGTAGTCCACGGTATTCATCCTTAAGGTAGAACAGTATCCATTCCATGCCTGATAAAATGGATAGGCTAGACACTAGTAGTTGTTTATTATTGTTCTTCCGATTGGTTGACTTATCATCTAATTGTGTTTATTCCCTTTCTCAGGCAATGTCTGCAGAGTAGAGGACCTAATGTTCTTTGCACTATCACCAGAGGTTTTCTTAAGAGTTGGGTGGTTAATGTGATCTTAGTGACTTTACAAAAATTGTATTGTGCGTATTTCTCAAAGGATAATATCCAGGAATATATATTTGGCCAAGATCACTATTTAACAGAAACCATATTAAAGAAAAAACAAAAGCAAAACTGATGTGCCCATATACTAAAACACAGTTGGAAAAGTAGGCTGTGGTCTGAGTATACATACGTACCATGTTTAACTTTATTAGGTAGATCATTTGGAAGCATCCATATATTTGAGGACTGGAATATAAGGTCTGTGTTTTAGAAGGATCATTCTGGAGAAAGTAGAGATTGCAAGCAGGAAGATCATGGGGCGCCTGGGTGGCTCAGTCAGTTAAGCGTCTGCCTTCAGCTCAGGTCATGATCTCCGGATCCTGGGACTGACCCCCCGCATCGGGCGTCCTGCTCAGTGGGGAGTCTGCTTCTCCCACTCTGCCCCACTCCCATTCTTTCTCTCTCAAATAAATAAATAAAATCTTAAAAAAAAAAAAAAAAAAGGAAAGCACGAAGATCAGCTATAAAGGTTGTGATGAGTCTAAGACCCCCGTGCTAGATAGTGATAGTAGCTGATACTGATTTCAGAAAAAGCCAGCTAAATCCTGCTCAGGACAGAGATTTCCTGCAGAATAATCATTCATGTCTATTTTGCTAGGAAAGACAAATGGTGGTGACCAGAGGAGTGTTTCATCTCATACAGAAAGTCAGATCAACGAGTCTAAGAAAGATGCAACCCATCTAGATCATCTGATCCAGGGCTTGGAGGACGATTCCATGTCACCCCCATTAGCCACTTCAACCCCTGCAGATACCCAGGAAGCTGGACTTTCTCCTCATTCCCTCCAGACTTCTGACCACCATAGAATGGGAACTCCATTTTTGACTATGCTGTCTTTGCCCCAGCCTGACACCTTGGTCTGTGCTGGAAAGAGTAAAGCCTCATTCTCTTGTTCCTTCACTCAGAACTTGGAAGGTTCTTACTTGCTGGGCCAAAAGGAAGGAGAGAAAGACTCTTCCTGGAAAAGGGAATGGCTTCATGGATCTAAGGAAAAAAACCATCAGGATGTAGAGAGACGCGTTCAACCACCTGGGGGCAAGGGCCTTCAGCACTTGGACAAGATTAAATTGGAAAAGGTGTCTGCCAGAGAAACCAGGCAGGCCCCCATCCTCCTTCAAACATGCAGGGATTCCTGGAGTGGAGAAAACACAGACTCAGTGAAACAAAGCCCTTGTCCTGTCCCTGCGTTTTCCTGGGACAGTGAAAAGAATGACAAGGACTCCTGGAGTCAGCTTTTCACTGAGGATTCTCAGGGCCAGCGGGTTATTGCCCACAACTCCAGAGCTCCTTTCCGAGATGTAACAAACAATCAGAATCGGGGCTTAGGGCAGTTTCATAATAGCTCTTGGGCTCAGTGCCAAGAGAGGCCCACTCAGTTAAATCTGCAGCCTGATTTGCTCTTTACCCAGGACTCTGAAGGTAATCAAGTTATCAGGCACCAAGTCTAAATGTCTTTATGATGGTTTGGTTCCAGAAGTACCTTGAGATGACAGAGCTATAGGAAAATATTGGGCGGAGGGGGGGGGGGGAAGGGAAGCAAGGGATGTTATTGAGCATTTTCTTTGTGTAAATAAAGCAGGGGGTGCCACTTGTTGAGACTGTATGATTGGCATTGTGTCTCTCTGTGAGGAAGAGGTGGCTGGTAACCTTGTACAAGTCTGTGATGAGCACTGAGGAGGTAGGGCAGGTACTTATCCTTCCAGTAAAGAGCCCTTACTCAGCCTGCAAAGCCACCTCTTTGCCCTTTCAGATGTCTGACTAGGACACTGCTTCTTATGGATGTGTGTTCTTCTAATCTCTGGCTGTTATCTTAACCACACAACCTTGGGATCGTTATTCCTGATACCTTTTTGAGTGATAAGGCACATCTCCTGGGTCTAGAGGTATGGGGGCAGGGAGAATAGAGAGAGAACTAGAAAGTAGAATGATGGTAGGGTGTTTGTTTTTGTTTTAAAGTAGGCTCCATGCCCAGTGTGGAGCCCAATACAGGGCTTGAATTCATGATCCTGAGATCAAGACCTGAGCTGAGATCGAGTCGGACGCTTAACCAACTGAGCCACTCAAGCGCCCCAATGGTAGGTTTTTTTAAAAAAAACTGTTATTTTTGTGGGGACTTTACAGCATTTTAAAGTCTTATATTCTGTGTTTAAACATCTCTCTCAAAAAAGTCTTGCTGGGGCCCCTGGGTGGCTCAGTCGGTTAAGCGTCTGCCTTCACACGTCATGATCTCAGGGTCCTGGGATCGAGCCCTGCATCGGGCTCCCTGCTCAGTGGAGAGTCTCTCTCTCCCTCTGCCCCTCCCCACCCCCCATTTGTGCTCTCTTTCTTTCTCAAATAAATAAAATCTTAAAAAAAATATTTTTAAAAAGCCTGTGCTTTAAAAAAAAAAAAAAAAAAAAAGCCTGAGGTTATATAGCAATCTAGCTGTGATGATATCAGTCTTCTATAACGTGTAAGAGAACTCCTTTTGTAAAACTATGAATCCAAATAAATGGCTGTTTACAAAGCTGACTCTGATGGTAATTAAAATATTACCATTTTATTTCTGAAAACGCAACTTTTTAATAGTTAATATGTTCTATCATTGCCATGGGTCCCATCTTAACACCCGTGTCTATCCAAGATGTTATCCACCAGGTGGCAGTTTCCCATGTTGCAGGTGTGCTACCTTAAGAGGCTTAAACAGCCTCTGGGGGCAAGTGTGCAAGTTCTAAGATGGAACTACTTTTAAGAGTTTAGGGTAAGATCCCTACAGAAGGGGAAAAGAGGCTCCCTACGGAAGTTTTTTTTTTATGTAGGCAGGACTTTATAAGGAAAGAGGGGAAGCCAGGAACCTGTTTATGAAAGTTCACATACCTTAAAATTAACAGGAATCCTATACTCATGATACCAGGTGGTTACAGCGCAGAGACAAACAGCACATGCAGCATCTCTCCATATCCTTCATTTAATATCAGGTAGTGCTTCAACCCAAACACACACAGGATACATACCGTAGAGAAAGGGACCTGAGGGCTTCTGAGTCATGCATGGTATGGTAGGTACAAACCTTGGCCCAGTGCAAAGGAGCAGTCAAGGGCCTGGAAGAAGGATGGTGCTGTTTCTCCTTCCCACTTCTCTTTCCTACTGGGCTTAAACTAAAGTCCATGGAAGAGAAAGCGTTTTCAATCGGTGGAACCCATGAGGCCCCATGGCCTGGGAGGGTATATTTGGTTGTACAGTATTACAAAATATATTTAAGAAAAAAACCCAGGCCTCCCAGCAGCAACCCAAGTGTCAGCTGGTCCAGAGGTCTGACCTCTACACATCTAGGGACAGGAAAGAGGGAGAGGGTAATTGCTGGGCACTGGTGTCAGTTTATGATGGAGCAGCATAAGATTTTCCCTGCCCTGTCAACACATATAAACATTTATAGCCCCTCACCCCTCAGCCCTGCTCTGCTGCAAGGAAGCCGCTGAGAGTGACAGCTGGGCACAAAGTGTCCGGTGAGACCAGTTATGGGGTCTAATGCAGTGAAGTAAGCCATTCATTTAGGACCTATTTTCACAGAGGCAAGGAAAAACCAAACTTCTGTCTCACCCTTTAGACGGAGACATTCCAACCTATACATTTACCTGTAACAAGTGTCTTGGTGCAAAACAGGCCTTAGCTTCTGCTAAGGTTTAAAGCAAAGGAAGCATGATCCAGCTCTTCTCTTTCAGTCCAAGCTCTAGCTTTCAGCAAGACTGTTGCAAAAGATTTCTGAGAGGCAAAAAGGTCTGTGGTGAGGAAGGCAGCTATTGAAGGAATTCCAGGAGCATGAGACTGAATTTGCAGAGCTGAGTTCTGTCAGTTTCCTTTTCTACTAATATCTTCTTCCTTCAGAGCAAACTTCCTCCTTAGGACCTCAGAGATAAGGACAGCTGGGTCTTCCTCCTTCAATAAACTCCGGTTCCTGGAGACAAAATAACAGCTTGTATTTATTAAGTACTTGCTCTTGGGCAGTGTTTTGTGTCTTTGAATACATTATCTCATTTAGTCCTCACAACAATCTTACCCAAGAAGTCTTTTCAGATGAGGAAACGGAAACAGAAGGGTTCTACAGTTTGCCCCAAATCAATAGGCACTCAGCCAGTAAGTAGCTAATCCAGAGTCCAAAACCAAGCTAGCTGGTTTAACTAGAATGCTTTATTTCCTGAAATGGCTGTAAAATGTGGGCAAGAGTAAAGGACTATCAACCAGTTAGAGTTGGCCTACTGTGGCTAAGCTTCTGCTCCCACCTTCTGTTGCTGTCTTTTCTTACTAACATTTCCCCACGTCAGCAGGGGAAGTGACTGTGAACGTGGCTATTCTGACCTTTATTATTAGTTCTGGGGAAAAGGTGTGCTGAGGATTTCCTACAACCCTGTCTGCTCATCAGAGGAGCTCTGAGATGTTTTTAATTGGAAACATACAGGTACAATCTTTTTTTTTTTAAATTAAAAAAGTTTTAAATTTCTTTTTTACCTTTTGACACGCTTCACCTATTTCCCCCATTCCCACCCCCAGCCTCTGGCAAGCACCAATCTGTTGTTATCTACAAGCTTGGGTTTTTTTTGTTTTTGTTTTTGTTTTGTTTTTTAATTTAGATTCACATATAAGTGATCGTATAGTTTTCTGTCTGGCTTATTCCACTTAGCATAATGCCCTCTAGTCATTATATTGTTGCAAATGGCAAGATGCCTGGGTGGCTCAGTTGGTTAAGTGTCTGCCTTTGGCTCAGGTCATGATCCCAGCATCCTGGGATTGAGTCCCACATCGGGCTCCAAGGAGCCTGCTTCTTCCTCTGCCTGCAGCTCCCCTTGTGTGTGCTCTCTCTGACAAATAAATAAAATCTTAAAAAAAAAGGGAGGGGGGGAAGGGCAGAAGGAAAGGGAAAGAGAATCTTAGGCAGGCTCCATGCCAGCACAGAGCCCAAGACAGGGCTCACACACAACCCTGAGATCATGACCTGAGATGAAATCAAGAGTCAAATGCTTAACCCACTGAGCCACCCAGGTGCCCCCGACGGGGGAGGGAGGGAGGCAAATGGCAAGATATCAGTCTTTTTTAAGGCTGAATAATATTCCATTCTGTATACATGCCACAATTTCTTTATCCATTCATCCCCTGATGGACACGTAGTTTTTTCCATATCTTGGCTATTGTAAATTATGCTACAGTGAATATGGGGGTGCATCTATCTTCTCAAGTGAGTGTTTTTGTTTTTGGATAATACCCGGAAGTGGAATTGCTGGGTCATATGGTAGGTTTTTGGGTGGGGGGGAGGGGGAGAGAGAGAATCTTAAGCAGGTTCCATGCCCATTCTCAAGACCCTGAAATCATGACCTGAGCTGAAATCAAGAGTTAGATGCTTAACCAACTGAGCCACCCAGGCACCCCTCATGTGGTAGTTCTATTTAATTTTTTGAGGAACCTGCATACTGTTTTCCATAGTGTGTGCACCAATTTCCATTCCTACCCAAGGTCACAAGGGTTCCCTTTTCTCCGCATCCTTGCCAATACTTATTTTTTATCTTTTTGATAATAAGTCTAACAGGTGTGAGGTAAAATTTGTGGTTTTGATTTGCATTTCTCTGATGATTAGTGATGTTCAGCATCTTTTCATGTGCCTATTGGTCATCTATATGTCTTCTCTGGAAAAATGTCTGAGTCCTATGCCCATTTTTTTAATCAGACTGGGTTTTTGGTCTTGTCTTTTCATTTCTTGCTATTGAGTTGTATGAGTTCTTTATATATTTTGGATAGTAACCCTTACTGGATATATGATTTGCAAATATTTTCTCCCATGCAATAGGTTACCTTTTCATTTTGTTGATGGTTTACTTTGCTGTGCAGAAGCTTTTTACTTTGAGATAGTCCCACTTGTTTATTTTTGCTTGTGTTGCTTTTAGTAGTCCGGTTGAAAATATATCATTGCCATGACCTATGTCAAGGAGCTTACTGCCTGTGTAAGATAGTGGTTGAGTTTCATTCATTTGTATGTGGCTGTCCAGTTTTCCTAGCACCATTTATGGAAGAGACTCTTTTCCCTACTGTATGTTCCTGGGTCCTTTGTTATAAATTGACCATATATGCGTGGGTTTATTTCTGGGCTCTGTTCTGCTCCAATGATTTGTTTTTATGCCAATACCATTTTGTTTTAATTACTACAGTTTTGTAATAGAGTTTGAAATCAGGGAGTGTGATGCCTTCAGTGTTGTTGTTCTTTCTCAAGATTGCTTTGGCTATTTGGGGTCTTTGGGGTTCCATACAAATTTTAGGGATACTTTCTTCTAGTTCTGTAAAGAATGCCATTGGACTTTTGATAGCATTTGCATTGAATCTGTAGACTGCTTTGGGTAGTATGGATATTTTTACAATATTTTTACAATCCATGAGCATGTTTGTGTTTCCTTTCATTTCTTTCCGTGATGTCTTGTAGTTTTCCGTATACAGCTCTTTCACGTCCTTAATTTTTATCCTAGGTATTCTATTCTTTTGATGAAATTGTAAATGGGGTTGCTAATTTCTCTGATAGTCTGTCAGTAGTGTATAGAAACACAATGGATTTTTACTTATTTTGTATCCTGCAATGTTACTGAATTCCTTTATTCCAACAATTTTTTTGAGTTTTTAGGGTTTTCTGTATATCATGTCATCTGCAAATAGTGAGTTTTACTTCTTCCTTTCCAGTTTGGATGCCTGTTCTCTTTTTTTTTTTTTTTTTGCCTAATTGCTCAGGCTAGGACTTCCAATATTATGTTGACTAAAGTGGTGAATGGGCATCTTTTTCTTATTCCTCATCTTAGAGGAAAAGCTTTCAGCTTTTACCCTTGAGTGTGATGCTAGCTGTGGGCTTGTCATATCGGGTCTTTATTATTTATTATGTTGAGGTATGTTCTTTCTATACCTGCTTTGTTGGAAGTTTTTTTTTTTATCACAAATGGATGTTGAATTTTGTTGAATGCTTTTTCTGCATCTATTGAGATGAACATGACTCTTATCCTGTTTTATTACTATGGTATATCCTATCGATTTGTAGATTGTTGGACTGTCCTTGCATTCCTTGAATAAACCCCACTTGATCATGGTATATGATCCTTTTAAGGTATTGTTGAATTCAGTTTGCTAATATTTTGTTGAGGAATTTTACATCTATGTTCATCAGGGATATTGGCCTGTAATTTTATTTTCTCCTGGTGTCATTGTATGGTTTTGGTGTAAGGATAATGCTGGCCTTGTAAAATGAATTTGAAAGAGTTCCCTCGTCTTTTCTTTTTTGGAAGAGTTTGAGAAATATTGGTATTCTTTGAATGTTTAGTAGAATTCACCCAAAGAAGCCATCTACATGGTCCTGGATTTTTATTCATTGGGAGGTTTTTGATTACTGATTTAATCTCCTTACTAGTAATCAATCTGTTCAGATTTTCTATTTCTTTATGATTCAGTCTTGGTAGAGTGTATGTTTCTAGGAATTTATCCATTTCTTTTAGGTTGTCCATTTGTTGGCATATAATTTTTATAGTCTTTTATCCTTTGATATCTGTGGTATTGTAGTATCTTTCATTTCTGATTTTGAGTCCTCTCTTTATGGTGATTCTGGCTAGAGGTTTGTCAATTTTATCTTTTCAAAGGCCCATCAATTACTTTCATCTTTTCTATTGCTTTTTAGTTTCTATTTCATTTATTTCTGCTTTAATCCCTGTTATTTCCTTCCTTCTACTAACTTTGGGTTTCATTTGCTCTTCTTTTTTTTTCTGGTTCCTTAAGGTGTAAAGTTGTGTTATTTGGGAATTTTGTTTCTTGAGATGGGCACTCACTGCTCTGAACTTCCCTCTTAGAATTGCTTTTGCTGCATCTCTTAAATTTTGGTATATTTCCATTTTGTTTGTGTCAAGGGTTTTTTTAAATTTTATTTTTATTTATTTATTTTGACGGAGAGACAGAGGGGGGGGACACAAGCAGGGGGAGTGGGAGAGGGAGAGGCAGGCTGCCCACTGAGCAGAGAGCCTGATGTGGGGCTCGATCCCAGGACCCTGGGATCATGACCCGAGCCGAAGGCAGATGCTTAATGACTGAGCCACCCTGGCGCCCTTTGTGTCAAGGTATTTTTGGTTTCTGATTTGACCCCACCCCCCGCCCAGTTGTTCAGTAGATGATGTTTAATCTGGACATATTTGTGAATTTTCCACAGATTTTGTGTAACTGATTTCTAGTTTCATATCACTGTAGTTGGAAAAGATGCTTGATATTTCAGTCTTCTTAAAATTTATTCAGACTTGTTTTGTGCCCTACCACATGGTCTAGCCTGGAAAAAGTTCCATGTGCACTTGAGAATGTATATTCTCCTGGTTTTGGAAGGAATGTTCTATATATATCTGTTAAGTCTACCCAGTCTAACAGGTCATTTAAGGCCAGTGTTTTCTTATTTTCTGTCTGGATGATCTATCCATTGATGCAGGTGGGGTATTTAAGTCCCCTGCTATTACTGTATGGTTGTTTCTCCCTTCATGTCTGCTAATATTTGCTTTATATATTCATAAATATTTACAAATGTTATATCATCTCTTGTTGGAGTGACCCTTTTATCATTATATAATGCTCTTTGTCTTGTTACAATCTTTGTTTTCAAGTTGACTTTTTCCTGATATAAGTATAGCCACCCCGGCTTTCTTTTGGTGTCTATTTATACGGAATATCTTTTTCTATCCCTTCCCTTTGTGTGTTTTTACATCTAAAGGAGTCTCTTGTAGGCAACATATAGTTTTTTAAAATTCATTTAGCCACTCTTGTCTTTTGATCAGTGTTTAGTCCATTTACATTTAAAGTAGAATTATTGATAAATATGTACTTACTGCCATTTTATTAATTGTTTTCTATTTCTGTAGTTCTCTGTTCCTTTCTTCTCTTGCTCTCTTCCTTTGTGGTTTGATGACATTCTCTAGTGGTATGCTTATATTCCTTTTTATCTTTGTGTATTTACTATAGGGTTTTGTTTTATAGTTAAGATTAGCCTTAAGTATAACAACTTATATCTGTAAGTGTATTTTAAGTTGATAAAATAGTTGCCAACTTAAGTTTGATCACATTCTAAAGCTCTTTTTACCCACGTTTCTGATGTCACATTTTACATCTTTTTATCTTGTGTATTCCTTACTTATTGTAATCATCAGTTATTTTTACTACTTTTGTCTTTTTAACCTTAATAAGTGATGAGTCCACTATTTTTATTATCTTTCCAGTGAGAGTTATTCTTTGATATGTGTTCCTGTTACTGACTAGTGCTCTTTTCAGCTTAAAGAGGTCATTTTAACATTTCTTCTAAGGCTGATTTAGTGGTGATAAACTCTTTTGGGTTTTGCTTATCTGGAAAACTCTCTCTTTAGTTCTGAATAACTTCAGTTAGAAGTTTTCTTCTTTCAGCATTTTGAATATATTGCGTTACTCCCTCTGGCCTGCAAAGTATCTGCTGAAAAATGTGTGAGTAGTCTTATGGGGGTTCTCTTTTACGTTATTTTTCTCTTGCGGCTTTTAGGGTCTCTTTGGGTTCATCTTATTTGCAACTCTCTGGGCCTCCTGGATCTGGATGTCTGTTTGCTTCCCCACATTAGGGACATTTTCAACCATTCTATTTTCTTTTTTTAAAGATTTTATTTATTTATTTGAGAGAGAGAGAAAGTGCAAGCACAAGCGGGGGGAGGGGCAGAGGCAGGCTCCATCCCAGGACCCTGGGATCATGACCTGAGCCAAAGGCAGATGCTCAACTGACTGAACCACCCAGGTGCCCCTCTGCCATTCTGTTTTCAAATAAGATTTCTGTGCCTTTCTCTTCTTCTGGGAGCCCTATAATGAGAACATTAGTCCATTTGATGTCCCACAAGCTATCTTTACTTTTTTTTTCCATTCTTTTTTCTACTTGCTGCTCTGATTAGGGGAGTTCTACTGCTTTGTCTTTTAGTTCACTTATCCTTTCTTCTGTTACTCCTCTAAGGGCAAACTAGATGAATTTTCTAGTTATTGTGTTCATCAGCTCCGTGACTTCTATTTAGTACTTCGGTGTATTTTCCACCTCTTTGTTGAAGTTCCTTGTTCATCCATTCTCCCCAGTTTGGTGAGCATCTTTATGACCTTTGAATTATCAGGCAGATTATTTATCTGTTATTAAGGCTTTTTCCAGAGGTTTTTATAACAGAGCTAAAATTCATAGTAAAATGTTCACATCACAAGGGAACCATGGGAACAAAACCAACTCCAGATTGGGGTAGGTTTGAGTTACCTAACACATCAAAAATATCTGGAAAATAGGTGCTTTAAATTCTACTGAACTTATATACATCCTTATGAAGACATTTACTGGTCATTAGGTAGGTATAAGATCAGTCCGTCACACTTCTGAATCTTTGCTGATGTTGCTACTTTCTCATTTTTAGTCATCAACCCAGCTCTTTCCATTAACAAAGGAAAAAAGATCCCCAGACATAAGGCTCCACTCCTTGGGGGTTCTGCTTTAGTAAGTTTAAGGTGTATTTATAACAAATCTTAGCAATTCTGCTGGACAGCCAGGTTTAGAGTCTCAAATGCCTGGATTTGGAGAGCTGGTTTGCATAAGGGACCACTGTATTTTAAAGCAGAAACCCCAACTTTATGAAATTCTCCTTCCATCAAAAATAAGTCTACCAGTTTGACTGGGGGACAGAAGTTGGATTAGATGAGCCTTCTTGTAAAATTTCTAATGATTGAGTTAGATCACCCCAACCAAATGTAAAATGTTGTTCTTTCCTCAAACTGGAGCCCCAGGTGTTATTAAGCAGGCAAGCTTTGTGAATGAAGTAATACATAGCTACTACTGAAGACTTAACTTTGTAAATTCTTTCTATTAGATCATTGGCCACAGGCGACTTAAACAGTAAACACACCACCAGAGCTCCTTGTCACATACTTACAGATCTTGGCTCTGTTTCATCCGGTGAAAGTCCTTTAGGATCCCCATCATATCTGCAAAGCTGCTGGCCTTGGACAGAGAAACACAGTCATCCTCTTCAGACGAGCTGCAGGTAGCTTTGTGTTCTGGTTTGCAACATTCAGGGCTGGCAGAACAAAGCAGGGGGACTGATGGAAGCTCAGGGACCTCTACCTCGGTCTCCTCGGTGATGTCACTAATGACAAAGGAAGTTGTAGAGTGGAATGAGGATCCAAAACAAGGTAAGGGAGAAGAGACATTTGAACTTCCTGGAGATAAGAAATCTGGCGTTAATGAAGCCGAAGCTGAAAGAGAAAACAATAGGCATGGATGGACATTGGGACTAGAATACAGCAGTAGTATCTTTTCCCTACAAGCAGTGCCTATCAAACATTCATTTCCTGGGCTTGACATGACATTCTAGGAGAGCCCAGGATGTTATTTGTAAGCCTGTAGAAGATTCCTCCACTACCGACTCCTCTCAGAATCTAAAGATGGAAAAGCACTGAGCTCTTCCAGTGTTCTGTGGGGGTGGAAAAACCCACCCCATAAAGGCTTAGGCTTCTAAAAGCTCCCATTCTGCAGTGGGCTATGAAGTGACAGCCCTATTTCTACCAAAGCAACAGTGACAGAACAAAGGCCAGAATGTGTCCTTTTCTCTAACTGGGCTAGTGCTTGTGACTGTGCTCTTATCTGTGACGTGAAGAAATAGCAAAAACAGAATGGTGTAGTCCTCCTAGTTTCTCAAATCTTGAAAGAATTTCCAAAACAAAAGATTTGTTTCATTTTTCATCAACTACTTCATCTTGACTCTTGGATGACAAAAATGCAGCCAACATATAAATGGAAAATTCAAGTATAGTTCCTCTATTAAACTGCCATATGAGTGAATTAAATATATGAGAATTTTACCAACAGGTAAGGTTTGGGAGCTGTGACTTTAAGTTGACAAAGTGCAGAAAAGTGAGGATGGATAGAACGAACAGGATGATAAACCCTGGGCAGCTTGGGAGAGAGCCAATGTTGGTGTTTCATGCACTGGGTCAAGGCAGACTCCCATCCATTTCCAGTGGTGATTCTGCCTTAACTGCAGACAGACAGGTGGAGGGATAGAGAGGTAGTCTCTGGGAGAACAAGGAAAGGGAAGATATGTAGATAGGAAGATAGCTTAAAGGTGGGGAATCCTTATTTCTCAGTGAAAAGGGAAGCTGCTTGAGGGCTCATGGAAGAGGGTGTTGGTTTTTGTAGCCAAGGGAGGGAATCTACCGGGCGGGGGGGGGGTCACAGGTTAAGTGAAGATTTTGTACCTAATCAAACCAGTCAGCGCAAAATGGCTGATGGAAACCATCCAAGGAGTACTACAGGCTAGCCAGTCCTCAGGACAACCCCAGAGCCCTGGGCCTTTGTCCCTCTGAACCATGGACCATCATTTTCCTACCCTTTATCCTGTACCAAAAGCCAGGGGTAAAGGAACAGCCTGCTAAATTCTGGCCCCGACTCAAGGGCTCCTACCTGCATCAGCTGCCACTATCTTAGCAATCTGGCTGCGCAGGTGGCTCAACTCATCCTGCAGCTCTGTGGTGCGGGTTAGGGCTGGCAGGGCTGGCTTCTTCAAGGCCAGAAGCCTCTCCTCGGACCCACGCAGGTTGGGCACTGAGGCATTGCGCTGCATGACAATCAAAGGGCTGGGCTTCCAGGTATGCCTCAGGGGCCGTGTGTCACTTCTGGACCAGGGAAAGACAAGTATGTCAGAGATAGCCAGCCACTGCACCCCTTCTAAAATTCCTTCACCCATTCCTACACAAGTAACACAGCCAGGCTCTGCTCCCACTCAGAGCCCATAGCTTTTGTTTCTGTTGCCCTCAGCCCCTCATAAGCACTCCCCCTGTTGCCTGCCACCTCATGTGGGAAGGAGCTCCCCATTCCCTAGCAGACCAGCTACTGCCTCAGCTACCTGACCCGGGCATATGTCTCCTCTTCATCCGCAGCAATCCAGGCGATGTCAGCCAGAGTAGGGACTGGGGGTACATCCCTCAGACACAGATCAGAGATGTTGGGCAGGGTCTACAAGGAAGCAAAAGTCATCAAAAAACATTTATTGACATCAACTGCAAAACACAAAGGAGGGGCACCTAAATATCAGGAAGGCTTCCCAGAGAAGGGAGAAGACAGTTCCTGGTTGGAAGAAGGACAGAAAAGAGTTTGTGGGATTACAAGTAGTTCAGCACACCTGGACAGAGCTGAGGGTAGAGGGTGGTTTGCAAGAGGCAGGAAAGTGAATTAATAACTTTGATTCTAAGACCAATAATGAGCCACCGGAAGATTTTGAGTAAGAATCAGATTTTGAAAGATTACTCTGGCTGCTGTGTGGAACATGCATGAGAGAGTGAAGAGACCAGTTATGAGGCTGTTATATCTTCCAAGCAAAACATGGTGGCCTAGAGCAGGATTGGGACGTATTTTTACATATAAAGTTTTATTGGAAAGTCACACCCATTCATTTATGTATCGTCTGTGTTATTTTTTAAGCTGCAACTGCAGAAGTGAGTAGTTTTAACAGTAGTTATGGCCCCCACACTAAAATATTTACTATTTGGCCTCTTAAAACATTTGCTGACCCCTGGCTGGAGCAAAATAGTCTTCAGTGGGACTGGTGAGAGTTACCTTTCACCAGAGATGGCCACTAAGAGCACCTTGCTTTCTCCAGCTATGAGAATATAGGTACAAGGACATCAACAAGAAGTTTCTTGGGCTAGCTCTTTACAACACCTCCATAGCTAATTGGGATCTACACTGTTATAGCAACTCTGTTTTAAGCAAACTGGGTAATTTTAATATTTGGATTTAAATAAAAATGATTAATCATACCAAAAGAATAAGAGGATTCCTTAAAATAGCCCCTCAACTCAGATGAACAATAACCAGGGAACAGACAAGGCTGAGTGACTTTATGTTAAATGAAAGATCAGGAGGATTCAATCATGCTATGATTGTAACAAAGTAAAAAAAACCAAAAAACAAAAAACACATGCATCTAGAAAAAGATGGAAAGGAACTACACCAAAACATTATTAACTATTTTGTGTGGTGAGTATGTGATTATATGTAATTTATTTTCTTTTTTCACTTTTCACAATTTAATATTTTTGTATGGGTAAATTTAAAAAATAAATCAGCAAGGTTCCTTTAAATAAGGGAATTAATTTACAACAGAAATCCAGGGACAATTTCTCAAAAACCCATCTACACATGAGTTAAATTCAGATGTTTCTGCTATAGATTGGTAGATGGATCAGGAGTTGATAGCTCTAGCTTTTAGACAGGGAACCTGGGTCTCATAGGAGCAATGCGATGCTCCAAGGTTACACAGGAAAGGACTTCCACTGACCCAGAAGTTACTGCTAAAATAGGCCATGTAGGGGAAGCCTCCATTTGTTTTCCTTTCCAGAATGCTGCTCCGCTATTGACAATTAAATGAGTTAACACATATAAAGTATTTAGCACAGTGCCTGGCATACAGTATGTGCTCAGAAAATGTCAGCTAGTATTACTAATAGTATTCACGCATACTCCTGATCTGTGGGAGCCTGTGCCCTTGATCGTCCCTGCCCAGAAGCATCTGACCAAAGGACTGAAGAGGTTATAGCCAAGTGTAGGGGCAACATCCATTGAGTCCCTCACACTCCCTAGTTGTGCTTTCCCTTTGTTTCTGATGCTTGAGGCAGCTAGAACCACATCCTGCCCATGCCACTTAGGCAAACCTGGATAATTGGCAATCCGGGGCAGAGCATAGCCACCCCACATCACATACTTCCAACTCCATTCCTGACTTTAATACCAACCCTGACACCATTTCTGACTCCAGAACAAGTTCCTACAATTTCACAGCTCAGCATCTGATACAGAAATTCAGCCTCCTTCATTTCTGTTTCCACTGGGCCCATGTCTTTTCAGGCATATATTTCTGTTTCCTCTGTGTAGACAGAAAGCTGAAGTACTTCTCTTGTGTCCCAGTTCCCCAAATGTACATGTCTTAAGCATCTAGCCTGGAGCTGGTTCTTAACCATTAATTCTTAGAGGTAGCTGGGACTAATAAATGCTACTTAGCATTCCACTGCAGAGTGGTGGTGCGGGGGGGGGGGGGGGGGGGGGGGGGAAGGAGTTCTCAAAGACATGCGCCAGGCAAGAATCTGCTGCAGAGTCAGTGCTAAAGGCCCCTAGATACAGAGGTAAGCCTTAAGTGCTCTAGTAAAGGAATAGCCAGACTTGGCCAGAAAGAAAAGGATGGGGAGTAAGGCCTCAGGGAAACCTAAAAATAGGTGGCTAAGTGGTCAAGTCTTAGGGCTGGTAAGAAAAGCAGAGTTCGACTCAGTCACACAACACTCAGTGTCCCACATGGAGACCTGCCAGGGTTGCAGGCAAACACCTCAGGGCAAAGACATGGCTACTTTGGGAATCTGGCTTAGCAAGGGCCTTTGTACTACTCTGATGAACTGGACTGCAGGAGCCGGATGAAATCTTCGTCACTTAGTGGCATCAAAGATGCAAGGTTATTCATTTATGAACAGATTGGAAGTCTGCTGTGGTCATAGTTTTGTGTGCAATCAGGAAGGCACAGTGACCTGTATCCATTATATGCACTTAATAAATATTTCTTGACAAAATGAAAAAGTGATCAGGAAAGCAACCTGCCTTAGCAACACCAAGTAGTCTGGGGCACAGAAGCAGCACCATCCTCCCAGAGCTCTGAGCCTCTACTTACCCTGCTCTTTCAGTATACTTACCTCGAAGGATGCCCGGGGACATGGCTTCAGGGGCAGGTTGGTCCCAATTCTTCTCACTACACTGCGAGCAGCCCCATATGGCTTGTTTTGCCAGATTGGGATGGTCTAAAGGAGAGAGACAAGGAGTCTCAGAGATGGGTCCAACTACTGTTCCATTCTACCCTCCTCCCTTTTAGCAGGCAGACTGAAGTCCCCAATCCCAAGGACAGGGCACTGTGTGTGGGTCAAGTCTCAATATAAGTGAGGGCAGATTCCCCAGTTGCCAGCCATTTAAGGGGACATCTGCTGCTGCCAAGGCATGGTAAATGCTGGGAGGACCCAGTGAAGGCATGAGGAATTAGTTGGGTATAGGGATCATATAGGTTACCCACCCTTCCCTCTGCCCAGAAAGGCAGAAGCACATTGACTCCTTAACAGCCCCCAAGACCACACTTGTTTTTGCCTATTGGGGGCAAGCGGTGGGAGTATGTGGAAGGGTCGCCTCCAGGGGAAAGGAAGAATTAACTGGAGAGTCTCAGAATTTCCTATAGAATTTCAGCAGGCCCAGTGCTCAACCCTTCTTCACCACAGCCCTGCCCTGGGAATGCCCCTTACCACACTGGCTTCCATTCCTGACATTTCAACCGGCTCCTGGACTTGAAGGACAAGGCAGCCACAGGGAAGCTCTGGGGGCTTGGGGAGGCTGGAGGCGTGATTCCTTCATATCAGGCCATCTTTAAGGAACATCAGATTTCTCTTCCTATGAAACAACCCCCACAGTGGAGACTCAGTGGCTACCACACAAGCCCCATAAAAACCAGGTCCTGCAGAGTTATGACTAACACCAAGGTTTCTCTGATGTTTCACAGGGGAGAAAAACAACCCAAGAGGCTGCCCTCACCCAACAACGGCTCCAAATCCGGACCCTTGAAGGTTCTGTTCCAGACCTGAGGCATGAGCTTGGCCAACTCTGGGAGCTTCCTGATCCCTTAGGTTTCCTGAGGCATTACTTGTAGAGATGTAAATAGAACTTTCTTGGTAGTTTAAAAGCCAAATTGTAGGTACCATTCAAACCCAGCATTCATTCTTGAAGATGGGGTGTAAAAGCCCCAGCATGTGCCACCAAGCCTAGTACTGCTGAGTCTTGGCAAGGGGGAGATGTAAGGAAGACAACGGTAGAATAAACAACCAGCTCTTGTCAATCTCAAGTCTACTGGACTACAGGGAAAAGAGCCAAAAATTTTTATCCTGTTTAGCCATCTACTGGTCTTGTAGCCTTACGGAAGTCCCATAACTTTTCTGAATGTTGGTTTTTCCGTATGTAAAAAGAGGACAAGAGCTGCCATCCTAGATTACCTTAAGGATCAATCAGCAAAATAGGATAAGATTTTAAAGTGCTTAATGAACTGTTAAAACACAACACAGATGGATGGGATCACTCCTGACTGTATTCTTCACAGCTGCTCTTATATGGTGAGCAGATGCAATCAATGAACTCATTCCCTTGTTCATCAAACATAACAATACCCACTCTGTGTCAGGCCCCGTGCTAGGCACTGCAGGGGCTATGGAAGGAGGAAGACACACCCATGCTCTCAAGGAACGCACAATATGAGAGAAATAGGACTTGAATACATAATTCTAGCAAAGGCTGAATATCACTCTTAAGAAAGGTACACTAAGCAGGTGGCGGCCCCTGGCCCCAAGGCCTCATGGTGAGTTCAGAGGGGGTAGGAAGGGATGAAAAACAGCAACAATAGCACCGGTCCAGGACAGGAAGGCGAGAGAGGCATAAAGAGCAGAGAAAGGTAAACGGGGGGTCAAGTCATGAGGGCTGGGAATGCCCAGGTAAGAAGTCACTGGGGAGCCAAGGGCAGGCTCTGAACAGGGGATGGACTGAAACCTCTCCTGCAGGATTTCTCTTTCACCTGCGGGAGAGGAGTTATCACTCACTTTACAATACAAACGGGGAAAGGAAGCTGGAGAGAGGAAGGGAAGTGTCTAAGGTCACTCAGTGGTCACGCCAGCTAGAAAGCACTTCAAGTCTGGTCTAGATGCTGCTGCCTTCTGCGTGGGCTCAACTCCGTGCAGTTCCAGCCTTTTATCAAAGTCCCTCTGTGTGCCAGGCTCTGTGCTGAATGTCAATGCCTGCCACAAGTTCCACAGAACAGTGCTTCCCTGTGTTTCTCACTCTAGACACTACAGCCACTTCCTCTCCCAACTTACCTCCAAAGACTCAGGGCTAACACCAGCCAGAGGGATCTTTCCAGGACACGTTGCTCCTGTTTAACCCCCGCCCCTCCCTATAGCCAACAGGGTGACATCCAGACCGGGTACCGGTCCCCCCCAGTCAGACCCAACCTCACCAGATCAAACTCCAAGGCCTACAACTGGGCCCCTGCACACTTGACAGCCACGCCTCCCACGTTCCCCTTGCCCTTCAGCCACGCTGGCCGCCCCTCAGCTCCTACCCACACTATCCTCTCTGCCTGAAACACCAGCACCTTCTTCACCAAGCTCATTCTTCCTCATTCTTGAGAGCTCAAGCATCACCTCCCTTTCCCTGACAGATCCTTACTGCCTCCCCTCCCCCAGCACCCCACGTTTCCTTCTGAGTCCTCTCACAACAGTAATTAGAACCCGCGCAGGGCAGGAGCTTCCCCCGGCACAGCACGGTGCCTGCCTGGTCCCCAGCGAGCACTTCAACGTTTGCTCACGAACGAAGGAGAACTCCGGCTTAGCCTTCGTCCCCCTGCCCGCCCCAAGTGTCATCGGCTAGAAGACTTCTCCAGGTTCTCAGCACCCCTGCGTTCCCACGACCCCTCTCCAGGCCGCTGTCCTGGCCTGTTCACACACACTCTCCAGCAGGAGACTCGGGGCTCCCCTGGGGCAGCGTCTATTCCCATCACCCCGGCGCCGGGCGCCCCACCAAGGCCGCCGCGCTCGGTGGAACTCGGCGAGCGACAGCCCGCGTGGGCCCCAAGCGGCTGCACTGGGGGGAGCCGCTGCGGGGACCTTGCCCGGGACCCGCGTCCTCTCCGCCGTAACGGCCCGACCCCAAGGGGCCAAGGTCGGCCAAGTTCTCGCCGCCGGCCCTGGCGGCCCTCGGACCCACAGGCCCGGGCCCGGGTCCCAGAAGGAGCGAGGCGGCCGAAGTGGCCCGGCCGGCCGAGGAGCGCGGTCGAAACGAGAAGCCTCCGCTGTAGCGCAGCCACGGAAGCTGGGTGACTCGAGCGAGCAACTACCCCCCGGGCACGGAGTCCTCCCACCCTCAGCCGAGCGAGGCGGACTACAGGGGCTCCCGCGAGAACTGGCGCGGAAAGAGGAGCCGCGGTCTCCGCACAGCGCCTGGCACTAGGCCGCATCGACAGTCGGGCTATGAAACCGCGCTGCCGCCTCCGTAGAGGCACTCGGACCTACTCTCACCTCAGACTCGGGCTCCGGGACTCACTCACCTCACGGCCCCTCCTACCACAGCGGGCCGCCCAGCCTCAACCGCCCTCACTTCCGCTGACTCGCCCCCGGAAGCGATCCATTGCGGTTGCGCACCGGGGGCCGCGCGCCCTCCGAAGGCGGACTGCGGCTTCGGCGGGGGCGGGGCGACGGGTGGCCTCACGCGGGGATTCCGAGGAAGAGGACACGCCCACTGCCGAGACCACGCCCACGCTGGCCCGGCCCTTGGGAAAAGAGGACGGCGCTTGGAGATCCCCGCGGCCTAACTGGCCGCATCCGCCGTTGGTCTCCGCCTCCTTGAGGCTCTCCTCGGGTGGTCCTGATCCGCCCTCTAGCGGCGGAGGTCTGACTACGTCCCTGCCCGGACTCCGGATTGTGCGGCGTCTGCTGTCTCTATGCCTAGGCACACTTAAGAATCCTCCCCCTGGCGTTCCAGGCCCTCCGGACCTACCTCTTGCCTTGCCTCATTTCGCCCTGGTTCGCTTTGCACACTTCTAGCTTCCCAGCCAAGACCCTCTACAGTCTTCTGTCCGGCAAGAAGAGGCCTCTTTCTCCTCTGACTACTGCCCTTCAGCTCTTTGTAGCTGTCTTCTATTTTAGCCTTTATGTCTCTCTCTCTCTCTCTCTCTCTTTCTCTCACTCACACACACACACACACACACACACACACACACACACACACACACACGGTAGATTCAGTGAGATAGTAAATCGTTGGGCAAGACCCCAGAGGCACTGGGAAAGAGACGCACATTCCTTTCAGGCTCACTCACCCACTCCCTCTTCCCGCTTAAACCCTCTCGGTCCTGCTCCTAGTCCTGGTCTCCATGGCATCCGGCCTGGGTCACATGCCCTCCTCTGACCTCAGGATACAGCTGTGCCTGGCTCCCAGGCTGCAGTTCTTGGGTCTCAGGGACAGGCTGGTTTCACAGGGGGACAGGTTTGGGTAGTCACACCGGGCCTCTTGCTCAGAACTCTGTGCTTGCTTTAATGTTCTGCTGTTGCCCTCTTGTATATATGTGTGTGTGTGTGTATAAATATATATATATATTTGTATATATGTGTATTTATAATTATATAAAATATATATACATTTATATATGTGTGTGTATATATATATAAATTAAGCAAGGGGCCCTGCAGTTTTCATTTTGCACTGGACCCTGCAAATTATATAGCTGTCCTAGCCAGAGACCTCAAGAGTTATCCACCCTGATCCTTACCATATTTCAGATGATGAGGGTGGACTTCCAGGTCCAGTTTTCTTTCCAGGATGGCAAATTATTGTTTAATCATTGATTCTCCTTCCTGGTCAATGGCAGATCTTGCAGATCCACCCTAGCTGTCTTTCCTGGGGGTGGCAGATGCGGTCTTGGTGCCCAACCCGGATCACCTCTACCCTGCCAGTGAACCCATCTTCCAGCTGCTGTGTTGGCTTCACACAGCTGCCCCCTTCCCTGGAAAACTGCACTTACAAGAGGGAGCACAGAGGCCCTAACCTGGGAATTTACTCCACCTTCCAAGTCACTGACTGACTGATACAGGGTACAAAAGGCAGGTTCTACTCTGTGGTGTGGCTTCTTCTGTGATCATGCCCAGGCTAGGATTTGAGACTCTATCACTGCTTAGCAACTTTCCTTTTCCCCATTCTTCATCACTCCTTTTTATTTTTTTTAATTTAAAAAATTTTTAAAGGCTTTTTAAAAAAAGATTTTATTTTTTTAAAGTAACCTTTACACCCAACATGGGGCTCAAACTCCCAACCCTGAGATCAAGGGTCACATGCTCCTTCAACTGAGCCAGCTAGGTGTCCCTTCTTCACTCTTTCTTATACAGGTTTTTCTTGAAGTGTACTCCCTCAAAAAAAAAAAAATAAATTACCTAATGCCTACCTTAGGCTCTGCTTCTAAGACAATGGGTAATTAACTTCAGAATCTTTCTCACCAGATTCTAAAAACAGTAGTTAGGTCTATCACAAACTTAAGAACATCACTTGAGCCCTCTAGTGACAGAAAAGATAATCCCCAAAGGCATTCCAGCCATGCTTCCTTGCCCATCTGCCAAGCCAATCCCACAGAGGAGTCAGACCAAGGATAGAACTGACCAATATCCCATTCAAAGGAACGGCACTTAGAACCACCCTAGTCTCTCCAATTTTATTATAGGATGTGTGGGTAGGGGAGGGAAGGGGCAGATGGGTGACACGCGGGAGCTGGGGGCCCTCCCCCACCATGAGCTTCAAGGCACAGTGTGTGGGGGGAGGTTCAGGAAAAGACTTGAGATGAAGATCAGAAAGCCAAGGCAATCAGTGCCTTACATGGGACAAGGACTGTTCAATGTGGGGCGGGCCCTCCTGCACCAGCACGAGAGGAAAAGCCTGCTGGGTGGTGAGGCGGAGGAGTCTCTGCTGACACTGGGTAGCTCATGGGATTGGTTACTGCCGTCCAGGCCTGGAAGCCCAGAGACAGACTCAGGTGCCCTCCCTCCCTGTAAGGGGCATGGAAGCACTGCCTCCCAGGACGCAACTTGGTTGAGCTGGCTGGCTCACGCCTCCTTTGGTCTGGAGATCAGCGGGGAGTGAGACATTTTGGTCTGAAAGGCTTTCTTTTTCACCTCAGTGAAAATGGGCAGGGGAGAGAGGTGGGGGGCAGTGCAAAACAAAACACTCCAAAATTGAGACAGGCTGAATCTCAGCTCTACCACTCAGTGACCTTGGGCACGTCACTTCACTTCCTTGAGACTCAGTTTCTTCATCCGCAAAATGGGAACAATTACTGTCTGCCTCACAGGTTTGTTGTGAGGATTAAATGAGGAAATACAAGTAATGTTAACAGAGTGCCCCAGACAGAGAAGGCTCAGTATGGATACTTCAGTGGCAGGCAGAACTCAGCGGATGGGAGGCCTGGGAATGTGTCTGAGGAAATGCCTGCCTTCCTCTTCCAGGTTTAAGAGAGAGCCCCTGTGGGGGCAGGCGTTGGGGAGGTACGGCTCCAAGGCTTTAATGAACAAGTCCAAGGATCTCTCATGGGCCTGAGTGGAGGACAAGCATAGGGCTGGGGGTACACTGACCTTTTTTAAAAAGCTGGAAGAAAAGGAAGAGAGGACTATTTCTTCCCATAGGTGCAGCTGCAAAGACATCAAGCTGGACCCATCTAGGATTTCAGATCCAGCCATCATGGGGCTGCTGCTGGGGGAAGACACCACCCCTTCTTTCTCCTCAGCGTTGGGGTTATCAAAAATACCTAACTGTGAGAAACTTCACATAAAAACACTTTTCTGCGTATATAAAAAAGACTGGCTGTGGTCAGTGGCTTGGGACGTAGACCAAGGCCTTAAGAGAGGCCAAGGAGGGTCAATGGCCACTCGGTGGTGGGCCAGCTGGTCTGGGCTGCCCGGACAGCTGGGGCAGCACCAGCCCTGCAGGAGGCTGTGGTCTTTGGCTGAGCCACACTTCTGTGGAGCTGGGTCTGTCATCCTACTGTGACCCTTGCTGGGGTAGGCGGTTGGGGGTGCCTTGGCCCTGGGCCTCAGGAACCCCTCAGTGGACTCCCTTGCTAAGAGCAGACGTCTCCTTCACAGTGAACCTCTCCAGGCAGCTGATCTCCAGCAAGTCCCAAAATAGGTGCTGGGTGTCCTCTCATTAGGTTGGATTGAGTGGTCTGGGAAGCCAAGGTCCCAGGTACAGTGAATTCTCCTTCTGAAGGAGGGCTTTGCCCTGAGCCTCCAAAAGGCTGTCTCCAGCTGAAACTCAATCCACTGGGGGACACCAGGCGGGGGGGGGGGGGGGGGGGGCAGCCAGGAAGGAGGCTCCAGACAAGAGTGCTTCCCTGGCAACCCCTCCTTAACCCCCAGTCCAGGGTTTCTTGATGTTTCTTTTGGGAGAGGGTGAATGTAAGGAGAGAGGGGTGGCCCACTCTTCCTAGCACCACTCCTCCCTGATCTTCACCTCACAAGGACCTGGACTATGTGCCCGAGTGGGTGAAGTCCAGGGAGATGACCCGAGGCCCCATTTTTGGTATCCTGAACAGCTTCTGGAATCATGTGGGTAGTAAAGGGCTAATGGTGGCAGCTGGAGCCAGAGGTGCATCCATCCAGTCAGCCCAGACACCCCCGTCTACCCCCCACTGACCTCAGGTCCCACGGGCAGCCTGGGAGTGGCAGGGGTAGGAGTGCGAGGACCACTGGCTCTGGGCCCGAGGGGCCTGTCCTCAGCACTGGAGGCCCTTCCTTCAGCTCCCCTGCTCCAGCCACCGCTCCAGCCGGGCCTCTCACGGCCTGAGGGCACACTAGGGCTGGAGGAGGGGCAGGCCACGCCGAAGGCCCTCCTTCAGGAACTGCATATACGTGGCCGTGGACGGGTCTTCAAAGGTGGACGAGAAGCTGAAGACGTTGTTCTCAATATCCTCGGGCTTCATGGAGGTGATATCCAAGAAGTAGTTGGCGTTGATGTGGTGGACCTGGGAGAGGGGCTGGGTGAGGAGAGTGAGCGGGCCCCCACTGCTCCCGGTCTACTCATGCCCTCCTGGGAGAAGGGGCCACTCTCAGGCCTCGACTGTCCTCACTCCGAGGCAGATGGCAGACAGGCAGAGCAGAACCCAACCCAGGGCCCGGCTGTTTCCCTTCTCCCGCCTCTGGGCATACAGGGCCCTCTGCCTTCGGAGCTCTCCCACACTCATCTACTGGCCAGAACCTAACGCCTCTCTGCCTTCCCCTCGCCCCCACCCCCCATGGCCCTTTTCTCCTCTGTTCCTGTGACCCTTGAACTCCACACTCCCTTCTGCCAAAATGCCCACCCACTCTGTGTGCCTGCTTCTCCGCTTCCTCTCACCCTGGCTACTCAGCTCCTTAAGGGCAGGTGCCCAGTACACAAGCCAAGAAACAAATGGACAAGCGGGAGGGCGCAGTCCCCAGGCCAAGTTTTGTCCTCCGGGCTCTGGGATGCCAGGGCCTGCCAGGGCCAGGCCCACCGTGCTGAGCACCAGTGGCCCTCTTCCCGGCCAGCCTCAGCTCTTGCTCCCCGACTTCGTCCTCCGCTTGAGAGCCTGGGGAAGCTGACGAACCTCCCAAGGCCTTCAGCCC